TCCAGAGCACTTGCCTCCCTCTAAAGTGTAGTTTGCAGATGATGACTGTGCACCCTCTAGATGAAGCACTGTACCAACACACAAGGGACATGCTCAGTCAGGGGCATGACCTCTGTCCTGAGTACTCCAACTGGTATTCAGAGAAAGGAGAGGAGCTGACACTGCCTGAGCCAGAAAGAGCTGGGGTGAAGGGCATGACTGGAGGATGGGTGAAGGGTTCTAGCAGAAATGGGTGCATGTGTAAGGCACATGACTGTGGTGAGGTTCATTTGGTTCTCTGAAACCAGAAGGAGCATGTGGAGGGGTGGGAGATGAAGCTACAGCAAAGGATGAGTGGGGACCAAGAAAAAAACTCTGAATCAGGGAGGAGGCCTAGAACCTTGGCCTGATATGAAAGTGTTGGGCGCCTTCACTATGGCCATATAATCTTGATTTTTGGTAGTGAGTATGAGGTCTGTTTTTTCATTCAACAATTACTTATTGATGGGCTTCTGTGCTTGAGTCATTACCCTGGGCCTGTGCCAAGACAGACAGGAATCCCTACTGCCTCTGGCCTATAACTGGCAAAAAAAATAAATGTTAAAGGAACTGAGGGCAGGTGGGAAAGATACCCTGATGGAGGTTCCCAGGTGACAGAAAAGAAGAGGGCCTGTCAGAGGAAGTGACACGTGAGGAGCCAGGGTGGGGAGAGGTGCTGGAGCAAGAGGCTGGCAGGAGCGAGGGTGAGGTGTTGGCCTGCATTTCTTGCATTCACACAGGAAATGAGAACCATATCATATGTGGTCAGAGCCCATCCCCTATTCTCTAGGGAGTCCCCAAACCCCCAAATCCTCTCTTCTAGTCACACTACTTATCTGACTGTGAACTACACCCCAGGAGACAGATAATCCAAGATCACTTTTCTCTTATCATAGCTGTCCAGGCCTGGCCTCTTGCCAGCTCACTTTCCCTCTAAGGGCAGGCTGCCTCTGCTGGGGCTCAGGCCTCCGCCTGCTTCAGCAGGACCCTGGGCCCATCAGCCCTGATGGTGGACTGGAGCTCCACTCCCTTCTAGACCCCTGGCCATAGGCAGCCCTACTGTCTCCAGGAAAAAGGTGTTCCTCTTTTCTGCCATATCCTGGTGACTACCACACGCACTGACTCCTCATGGCCAGTGTCAGCCTCACCCCATAGATCGGGACATGGACCCTGACTGGGGTCACACAGCCTCATCTAGGCTCTGGCTCCCGCACACTTAACTGTTCCCCCCTTAAGGGGAAGATTCCTCCCTTAAACATTTTGAGCAAATAGGGGCTGACTTAACTACTCTGATCTAGGGCAGAAAACCCCCATTGAAACCTGCTTCCTTTGAGACTTTCAGGCCAAACGCATTCCTTCATGAAATCCCAATGAACCAGTCCTGTTTTCTGGGCAGTAGTGGATTGGCTTCAAGAGCTGCCCCAAATGTCCTGTCCCTTGGCTTGTCAGAGAACCAGTGGCTTAGGATGGAAACCTGTCCCAGTTCCCTCTATTCCAGACATCAGTGGGACCTTGCTGGGCCTGGCTTCTGTAATGCAGCCCATGCCATCCCTCCCTTTCTACAGCCCATGCCAGTGACAAGGCCACACCACTGGGAGTGACAGCCAAGTTTGAAGTTAGGTTTGTCTGGTTCATGTTGGCCCTTGATTTCAGGACCTGAACTATCAAAGGAGTGACTCAGATGATCCAACTTTAGGCAAGTGGGGAGAGGGTCCAGATGCACTTAGCCTTGAATAGGAGCAGGAGTAGGAAAATGCTTTTGAGTTTGCCAAGAGTTGTGTGAATATGGTGTGCTGTCATCCGGTTAGAACCACTGAACAGGTAAGGGTATTGGAAAGGCCTTAGAGCAAACAGGAGCTTGCCCAGGGCAGAGCCCGTGCCTGGAAGCCAGGTATCTCTCTTCAGCCGAGGCCCCTTGTAGACCAGCAGTGAGATCTTGACTGGGCCTAGTTGTGCGGGCACAGGGACCAGGGAAGGCCTCAAACACCTGTAGCCCACCTGTCCAGGTAGGAGGGGCCAAGGCCTGGAAAGCAGAGTGAGATGGGGTGTGCAGTCAAGCAGATGTGTGTGGTTGCACTAACTGCTGGTCGCTCTGGGCTCATTACCCAGCCTTTCTGAGTAGCATATGTCCCATATGTAACGTGGGTATAACCGGTACCCCACCTCACAGGCACTCTGAGGCTTCCATTATAAAGCGCAAAGCTGCTAAGCACAGCTTAGTAAGTGACTTGACTTTGAGTTGCCAGCCAGACACAGGCCTTCCCCTTCTCACACAGGGACTGTTGGGGGTCGTTCTCTTGATGACCTGAGCCCTGCCTCCCCTAAAGCCTTTCTTCTCCTAGCCCAAACATGGTCATCCTCCCATGCTGTGCTCTTCTAAAGTTAATAACCAGAGACTGCAGGCATGTCTTTTGGGGGAACTCTGAGTTTCCTCAAGGCCTAAGCAGAACTGGGAGCTTTTAGTCAGTGGGAAGTGAGCGCTTCTGGCTTAGAACTCCAAGAGCACTGTCGTCCCTAGACTACACTGCACACAATGCCTACAGCTCTTCTGCTGTAGCCTCTGTTACTTTAGAATGACTCATTTCACAGCTACTCCTCCTAGTTTTCCTGGAATCCAGCACAGAGCCTGGCCTCATACATGTGTTTTGAATCCTAGCTACTCAGAAGGCAGAGATCAGGAGGATCGTGGTTCAAAGCCAGCCCAGGCAAATAGTTTGCAAGACCCTATCTCTAAAAGAACCATCACAAAAATAGGGCTGGTGAACTAGCTCAAGGTGAAAGCCCTGAGTTCAAGCCCCAGCACCACAAAAAAAAAAAAAGTGATAAACACTTGCCTAGCAAGTGTGAAGCCCTCCGTTCAACCTCCAGTACCACCGCCCCAAACACACACAAAGAAATAATAAGGAAAGGGTCTATTCGTATTACCCTTTTCGCAGTTTCCCTCAGTCAAAATCATCCAAAACTGTAGTATAGTATCACATCCAGGATACTGACAGAGATACAATTCACCCATCTTATTCAGATTTCCCGTTTCATTTGTACTCGCTTGTGCATGTAGTTGTGTGCAGTTTTACTACACATGTAGGTTCATGTAACAATCCCACAGTCAAGACACTGTGCTATCCCATCGCTGCACACATGGGTTCCCTCTTGTTATCCTTTTATAGCCACATCTGCTTCCCTCTTACCCTCCGTAACACCTTCTCCCCGAGTGTCCCCCAACCCTGGCAACTACTAATCTGTTCTCCATTTCTAAAAGTAGGTCATTTTAAGAATGTTATAAAAATAGAATCATACAACATGGAACTTTTGGAGATTCTTTTTTCCACTCAGCATAATTCACTTGAGATGATTCAAATTGTTGCATATATCAGTAGTTCACTCCTTCTTACTGTAATACTCCATGGTATCCATGTGCCGTAATTCATCCAACCACTCACCCAGTGAAGGGGATCTAGGTTGTTTCCAGTTTTCAGGTATTACAAATAGAGCCAGCTGCCCTGGGCATTCATGTTATTTCTGTGAAACACATGCCCAAGTACTATTGCTGAGTTTTATGAAATTGTACATGAAGTTTCATAAGAAAATGCCAGTCCATGGTGGCTCATACCTGTAATTCCAGTTATTTGGGAGGTAGAGATCAGGAGGATTGCAGTTTGAGACCAGTCCAGGCCAAAAATTAGAGAGACCCCCTTCTCAATAAGCCTGGTATGGTGGTGCTCACCTGCCATTCAGCTATGTGGGAGACATGAAGGATTGTGGTCTGGGCTGGTCCAGGCAAAAATGTGAGAACTTACTAAAAAAATAACAAAAGCAAAAAGGGCTGGAGATGTGGCTTAAGTGTTAGAGTACTTACACAAGGCCCTGAGTTCAAGTTCCAGTACCACCCAAAAACCACTCCATTTTCTAAAGTGGTTTTATCACTTGAGTCTCTCCACATCCTTGCTAGCATTTGACATCTCTCACTTATATCCATTCTTATAGATTTGTATAGTGATATCTTGCACTGGCAGATGGAAGACTTCCAATGCCCTATATCTAGTCCCCTATAGCAATAGGCCTTGTTTTGTGGGTTACTCTTGGACTAGCATCATCTTTGTGATTGGTAGCCCTTGACGATAACATTCACCTGACTCTTGCTCCCAGGACCAGGGTAGAGGCTTGCTTGGGTCTTTACAGAAGAGACAGCACTTAACAGTTATGGGGCTGAGGAACACCACTGGTCAGCCCCAGCCCTCACACACACCACTGCTAGACAACACCTTCTGTCACAAACAGTGGAATGTCTAGGAAAGAAGCAGCAGCTTGTAGGGTCTGTGCCTGACTGAGTGCCAGCTCCAGGATGGACAGGGGATGATTCTGAGATGACTTAGACCCCCACCTGTATCTCTGGCAGCTCCTGAGTCTTAGGTGAAGGACTGAGAGTTGGACTAGGCATGGTGAAATCTTAGGGGTGGCAGAGTGGACATGAGGTTAGGGTTTTCACATAAGGAGGATTAGGTGAGGTGAGAATTGCAAGGTGGGGAGAGGTCTTGCTAGGCCTTGAAGGATTTGTCGTCTTTGACTAGGTGGAGAGGGGTATCCACACAGAAGGAACAGGGAGAGGCAAAAAGCAGAGCAGTGGGGAAGTCTTCCTGCACTCGCTCTGTCATCATCAACCCCTCCTGGCATGGATGCCTGTGGCACTGTGCACCTGGTTGTCTTGCCTATACCCTGCTGGATAAGACCTTTGTGTGTGACTATGAGGTAGAAGGATCTGGTTACTATTGCATCCCCTACTGGACTGGCCTTGGAAGGGGGTGTCAGAGCCTCTGTGTGTAGCAGAGCACAGCCTCATTGCTATGTAGGACAAGTCCTCCCTGAGGGAATGGCAGGCCAGTGCTAGACCAGGTCAGGCAGAGCCAAATCCTGGAAGCCTGGAAGGGGCTTAAGAGCATGAGAGCCTTTGTCTTCATCCTTGCCTTCCTCTCACCCATCTGCAGGTTCATCATGCCTAGTGGCATATAAGAAGACCCCGCCACCGGTCCCTCCACGCACCACATCAAAACCATTCATCTCAGTCACAGTCCAAAGCAGTACCGAGTCTGCCCAGGACACCTACCTGGATAGCCAAGATCACAAGAGTGAGGTGACGAGCCAGTCGGGCCTGAGCAACTCATCGGACAGCCTGGACAGCAGTACCCGACCGCCCAGTGTGACACGGGGTGGAATCACCCCAGCCCCAGAAGCCCCGGAGCCCCCTCCAAAACATGCAGCTCTGAAGAGTGAACAAGGGACACTGACCAGCTCTGAGTCCCACTCCGAGGCCATCCCCAAAAGGAAACTGTCATCAATAGGAATACAGGTAAGGGCTCCTTTTTCACTGTGTCCTCCATCCGCTCCGTGCACCTGCCTATGTGTAATTACATCCACTGGAGGCCCACTAGGTTTCCTGGGAAAAGTGGTTTGTCTGTCTACTCTGGGGGGGTCTGCCCCAAGTGGCTGAGCCAAATTCCACCCATAGCTACACCTTCCTCACATCCACTTGCCTGTGCTGCAGGGTCTGCAGCTGTGGGCATGTGTTCCTGCCTCTCCGGTGGGTTGTCCCAGTGAATGTAGTTACACTCAGCCAGCCATCTCCTGTCCACTGTTTGCTGTCCACTGTCTGTCTGTCTACTCCACCCTTTGCCCTGCCAGCCAACCCATGGGAGGCAGGACTGGCCTAACGGTTCTCTAATCCAAGGTCAGCTCGGGTGCAGAAGCCATAGCCCCGCTTGGCAGCGGGAGCAGCGTGGAGCATAGACGCCGATGGGCCAGGGGCCCAGGACCCAGGGCCCCATGAGCCATGGGGGTTGCTCAAGGGAAACTTTGCCTTGGGGACAGGTAGGTAGCTTGAGGCCCCAGGCCCATGTCAAACCAAGAAGCATGATCCTGGTTCATGTGCTTCCCTCCATGGGAAAAGGTCTGGGCATATGGTTCCCTAGAGCCGTGTGGCCCGTGCCAAAAGGCCCTTCCAGAAGCAAAATCCACTGCACATTCATATCCACAGCACCCAGCAGGGTAGTGCACCAACTTCCTTTTCCATGCCTCGTGGTACCTCTTGGATGCATCCATCATCTTTGAGGGGGACAAACATGGGCCCTGCCTCAGTAGTTTTTAAGAGTTGCTCCAAATCCAGAGTGAGAGGCCTGTCCTTGCACACTGGACTTTAGGACTAAAGCAAGCACACTCAAGAAGTGAGGGATGGCCAGCTATAGAGGGCAGAGGGCTTGGGGAGGCAGAGCCCTTGCAAACCCCGTGGGAGGGTCAAGGAGGACAAGATGGTGTTCATTGTGACTTAGGGCTGCAAGGATCTCCTTTCCCCAGCCATCCTTAAGCAAGCGAATGTGGTCACATTGATGACAAAGCACTAGAATGCAGAAGGAACATGGAACAAAGGGGACTGAATGGAATAGAGAAGGCTCACTGGGCAATTCCTTGCATTTGCATATATTTGTTTCCCCCAAGAAGCAGCTCTGGACATCAGTTTCCCACATACGTACAGAACAGAAGGTAGCCAGGAGACTCCTGTTTTTGGGCTTCTATCACCAGCTGGGCTTCCTCATAAGGGTTCATCCCCCACCCCATACAGCCTCTCCAGGTGGAATTCTTAGAAACGCAGGGAGGAGCCCTGTCTCTGATCCATGGTTCTGACCACCCAAGTCTGTTTGGGCAACCCACTCTCGTTGGCCAAGCCACATGTGCTTGTCTTCCCAGAAGGCCTTCCCAAGGCTGGTCCTCTCCCTCAGAACATGACACTGGGATAGAACTTCAGCTTCTGTGCTCTGATGGCAGCTCTGTGGGATGCAGTGATGCTGCGCTTTCCACGCCGGTGCTGGCCAAGAGGAAATGTGGCTGCGTCCCTGCCCCAGAAAACCTCTCAGTCCCTGCTTCCATCTATGACTCCAGGAGACTGGGGAACCCCTGTCTCCAGCCCTAGGTCAGATGTGAGTTCTCCCTCATTCTTGACCCATGATGGGAGAGCTGACCTAGCTGCGCCATGGCTAGACACTCTTGTACCATAAAAGATGAATGGACCCAGGGCATATCTGTCCCCATGTCTCCTCCCCTTTACAGAGTAAGTGTTAGCTTTCACACTGGGCCTGACCCTCCCCAGAGCCATGCAATGTTAAAAGTAGCCATGTGGGACAAGGCCTAGAGATGTCATCCCATAGTGTTGAGGGACTGTGCCAGCTCGTACCTTGGCGGCAGTTCTAAATCCAGAACTGCTGTCATGGTGTGCCCTGAGTCCAGGCCTCTCCAGCTGTCCTTCCATCTTCAGTCATGGGGTGTGGGGAATGATCTTTGCCTCGAAACAGCCCCCAGCTTTGACAACACCAGATAACGGCTGTGGCTTTGTGTGTGTGTGTTCTTTTTCTCTTCCGTCGTCCTTTTTTTCTTCTCTCTGATGCGTGTAAAGGAGAGGACTAGAAGGAACGGTTCCCACCTCTCGGAGGACAACGGACCCAAAGCGATCGATGTGATGGCACCCTCCTCAGAGTAGGGAAAGCCAGTCATCTCTACCCACCCTCCCGCCTCCGCGCGAATGAGCACTGCCCGGCTTATCCTGGTCCACCACGGGCCCGCGTGCAGTGTCCGCATGCCTTGTGACTGTCTGTCCATATGTCCGTTTGCGTCGTCCCACTAATGTGAATTTCAGCAGCAAGTGTGGTGTTTGTTTTTTATTTTTGTCTTTGTCCCCGTGCCGTTGCTGTCGTTGTCCTTCAATAAGGTTGACTGCATTCAGCCAGTGCCAAAAGAGGAGCCCAGTCCCGCTACCAAATTCCAGTCCATCGGGGTTCAGGTAGAGGACGACTGGCGGTAAGTTGGACAGAGGTAGTGGCTGCTTCTCTCCTCTCCTCTCCCTCCCTCCGCCCTCACCTCTCCTGCTCTCCCTAACCCACTGCTCCTTGCTGGATTTTTAATAACCAAGCTGGGTTTGGGTTTGGGCGGTGGCCCAGGTGTGGGAGACCGGGCAGGGGGCAGGCGGGTGGACACGTGAGCATTTGCTCTGTGAGACCAGTCAGCCCCGGGGAGGGGGTGGTCCCAGCTCCCCTGATGGTGGTCTTCCTGGCCCCACTGCAGTAAACAGACAACCTTATGACCTTGTCCTGTGTGTGTGTGCGTGTGGGCATGGGCGGGACGGGGCAGGGGCTGAGCTGAGAATGAGACGGGGGCTGTGGGACCCGCTTCAGGCGCATGGTGAGCAGATGATGCACCCGTTTCTCTGTCTCCCGTGTGTCCGGGTCAGGTGGCCTCTGGTCTGTGGATCTCGTGGTGACTCACTCCTTCCTGTCCCTGCCCCACTTACCCCCCTCCCACAGAAGCACTGCCCCTTCTCACAGTATGTCCTCCCGACGGGACACTGACTCCGACACCCAGGATGCCAACGACTCAAGCTGTAAGTCATCTGAGAGGAGCCTCCCGGACTGTACCCCACACCCCAACTCCATCAGCATCGATGCTGGCCCCCGGCAGGCCCCCAAGATTGCCCAGATCAAGCGCAACCTCTCCTATGGAGACAACAGCGACCCTGCCCTGGAGGCATCCTCGCTGCCCCCACCGGACCCCTGGCTCGAGAGCTCCTCCAGCTCCCCTGCAGAGCCAGCACAGCCAGGGGCCTGCCGCCGAGATGGCTACTGGTTCCTGAAGCTGCTTCAAGCAGAAACAGAGCGGCTGGAAGGCTGGTGCTGCCAAATGGACAAGGAGACCAAAGAGAACAATCTCTCTGAAGAAGGTAAGTGTGGGGTGACTCCCTGGGGCAAGGTGACGAGGGGTGCATGGCTGTATCCTGCTCTTGCCAGCCAGCCTTGGAGCCCAGGTGAGGAGGGTCTTAGTCTCAGGTTCTGCTCTTGGGCCAGTTTTTTTGTTTTTGTTTTTTTGCAGTACTGGGGCTTGAACTCAGAGCCTACACCTTGAACCACTCCACCAGCCTTTTTTTTTTGTGTTAGGGCTGGCTTTGAACTGTGATCCTCCTGATCTTTGCCTCCTCAGTAGCTAGGATTACAGACGTAAGACACCAGCACCTGGCTCCTTGGGCCAGTTTTGTGAACTCTCCTCTTACTTTCACTTGCCTTTCTACCATCCATGCACCTGCCCAGCCAAGCCTCTTTCCAGATAGGATATATGCCAGCTGGGCAGGCGTTTGGCTCAGCCATACCTACATTTGGATCCCAGCGCTTCCCTTTCTACCAGTGTGCCCTTCTCTCTAACGCATAAGCATGTTGTGAGGATTGAATGGCGTACCCCATGTGTAAGCCCTGATGAAGTGCTGCGCACAGGGAAAGCTGGTGCCCTAATTATGCCTTCAACAGCTTTTCGAATGCCACATACATGGATCTGACTCGGCTTCAATAGAAACGAATGTAAAGGGTGAGACTTAATTTCTGACTGTCTATACCATGTGTATTTTTAAAAAAAAAAAAAAGGAGTGCGGGGCCAGGCATGGTGGCACACACCTGGAACCCCACCTGTGTGGGAGGATCAGGATCCGAAGGTGACCCCAGGCAAAAACTTGAGACCCCACTCAAAAAATAACTAAAGCAGGAAGGGACTGGGGGAATGGCTCAAATGGTAGAGCGCCTGCCTAGCAAGCACAAGGCCCTGAGTTCAAACCCCAGTATAGCCCCTCCCCCCCACCAAATCTAAGAAACAAATTCATGAAGAGCTACTTCAGTCATAGACTACTTGTCTACCATACACAAAGCCCTGGGTTCAACCCACAGCACCATCGGAAAAGAAAGCGGGCCTCAATGCTGGACAAACACTCTTCCAAGTGCTTGGAGACAAGCTAGTCTAGCGTCCATGAGGCCCTGGGTCAAACCCCAGCACTGGAAAAAAAAAAAAAAAAGGTTGATTCTTCTATGTTTCATTTTCCAGATATAAGAAAAATTTATTTTTTTTATTTGGGGCTCTCAATAGTTTACAGCTATGTTTTAATTAAGTTAAAACATTCCATTTTCTCCCTAGTCAATCATATTTTCAAAACTTTAAAACTACCAGTAAACATTCTTATTACATGGTAATGTATCTGTTTCCTTAGATTCAATAAGAATCTAAGGAAACAGATACATTAGGCTTAGGCTGAGGGGTATAGCTCAATGGTAGAGTGTGTGCTTAGCATGCAAGAGGCCAGTGGTTCCAAACTCAGCACTGCACAAAAAAGGAACATTGATATAACAGTGGCTTTTACTATCATGTCATATTTTCACATATGATCTAACAAGCAGGAGTCAATAAACCCCTTCTTGGGAAAAGTAGCCTGGTACTTTGTTTATGTGATTCCTCTTATAGGGTTCCTGGCCTTGCAGTTGGCAAGGAATGTCATTTTCTGCAGGCCCACTAACCTTGGGATGTTTGGGGACCTCAGAAAAAGGGAAATTCACCCAGGTACTCCTGGCAGAGTTGGATGGTAAATCCTTGTCTTGATTTCCTGGCCTCAAGAGGCTTTGAAAGGTTTCATCTGAAATCCCATATCCAACATTTCAGCAAAGCAGACTTTATTACAAGCCTGTAGCTGGGAGTGTGGCTCAGTGGTAGAGTGTTCACCTAGCTTGCAGGAGGCCCTATGTTTATTTTCCAGCACTGCCAAAAAATAAAAAATAAAGAAGGAAAGGGAAAGGAAGAGGGGGCTCAGTGCCGGAGCTCTGCTTCCTTGTTGGCTCCTCCTCTGCAGGAGTTTCAGGAAGGACAGGTTTTCAGAATGTCTAACTAGCACAGAGTGGCGTCCCAGTGACCCCTGATGGGTAGTCCAAGGAGGACACCCTTTGATGAGTCAGAGGGAGCCTCAGAGTCACTGTTTTCACTGTCCTCCAGGCCAGTTCTCAACTTTGATCTCACACCCACTGGTGTGCCAGGGGATGGTTGTGAGCTATATGCCTCATAGCTTTTGACAATAACGTATTTAAAAAATCAAACCAGCTGCAAGGATCAGAGAGCACTGACGTGTCTGACAGGAAATATCCAGGCCACTGCTCCTGTTCCCAACGAAGCCTCCCCACTGTCACCTCTGATCAGCTCCTGTTCTGATATATTCACCTTCAAGGGTCTTTCTTTTTTTTTTTTTTTGGCAGTACTGGAGTGTACTCAAGGCCTCACACCTGTCAGGCAGGTACTCTACCACTTGAGCTATGCCCTCAGCCCTTTTTATGCTTTAATTATTCTCAAGTAGGGTCTTGCATTTTTTCCCTGGGCTAACCTCAGATTGCAGTCTTCCTACTTACAGCCTCCCTTTATAGCTGGGATCACAGGCATATGCCACCACACCCAGCTTATTTGTTGAGATGGGATTTCAGTAACTTTTTACCCAGGCTGGCCTTAAACCTCAATCCTCTCAATCTGTGCCTTCCTAGTAGCTGGGATTACAGAAGTGATCCACTGCACTTGGCCTTATGTTAATTTTGAAAAATAATTTCCTCACTTCTATTCTCTTTTTTTCTTCCTAAAATTCCTGTCAGATGTCAAAATTACTGGGTTGATACCGGTCACTTACCTTTTTGTCACTATGTCTGCTTTTTCTTATACTTTCTGGAAGGTTTTCTTTTTCTTTTTTCTCCTTCACTTTGAATTTTTTTTGGTGGTGTACTGGAGTTTGAACTCAGGGAGCTTTATGCTTTCAAGAAGTCCTCTGCCACTTGAATCATGCCCCCAACCCTCTCCTTCACTCTTTAACAAGCCAGCCTGCCTTCCTGCCTTCCTTCCTTCTTTCCTTCCTTCCTCCCTCCCTCCCTCCATCCCTACCCCCCCCCCCTTCCTTCCTTCTTTCTTTGCAACTGGTCTACCACTATATCACACCCCAGCCCTGTAACAGCTTTATTGAAATATAATTCACCCTTTGAAAATGTGCAGTTCCATGACATTTAGTGTACTCATAGTGTTGTGCAGACCTCGCTTCTGTCTTATTCCAGAATGTTTTCATCACCCCCTAAAATAGCCCGTACTCCTCAGCAGTCACTGCCCACCCTATCCTCAGGCCACCACTACTCTGCTTTCTGTCGGTATAGATTTGCTTATCCTGGACATTGCACATAAATGGAATTGCACAGTACCAGGTCTTGTGTCTGTCTCCTTTCACGTGGCTCTTCTTTGTTGTATATGTCAGTACTTTTACTTTTTTGTTGTCAAATAGTATTCCATTTTATGGATATACTACAGTTTATTGATGCATTCATCTGTTGGTCAGCACTGGGGCTGCCTTTATCTGGGGGCTATCAGGAACATGCTGCTGGGGTGTTTGAGTTCAGTTTCTAGTGTAATGTGTTCATTTCTTGCACGGACCCACCCAGAACTGAAGTTGCTGGGTCACATGATAACTCCATGGAAGTTTCTTAGAAAGTGCCAAGCCACTTTCCTAACAGCAGTGTGTGAGGCTTCTGATTTCTCTGTGCCTTTTAGACTGGGCCATCTCAGTGGAGAGTAATAATCTCACCATGGTTTTGTATTTCCATGGTGATAGTAATGTTGAGCATCTTCATGTGTGTGGATTGGGCCTTGTTTATCTTTGTTGGAGAAAAGTATTCAAGCTGGGACTTTTTTTACTTTATTTTCTGACTTTGCCAACAAGTATTTACTGTGGCTATTCAGGTAAGAGCTCATTGGCTTGTTCTCCTTTTTCTTCAGATTTGTCCTTGCTTTATGGGCATAGCATCTTGTTTTATCTCTCTGAGATTCATATATATTTGCTTTCATGTGTCCCTACATTCTTTATTTCTTTAATTTCCTTTTACCTTTTGGATTGAAAGCTTTCCTGGAATGTCCAATGATCTTTGGTTATTTATATTTAAAAGTGAGGCCCTAGCTGGAGTGGTAGAGCACATCTATAATCCCAAGACAAGGAACACTGGACTACACGATGATATCCTGCCTTTAAAACCAAAAAGCGAGAGCAGGCAGGAAAGGATAGAGTTGCAGACTGCTGTTCTTGTCGAAAAGATAGTAGTTTCACATGTTTTTACAATTTTATATTGTAATTAAATAAAGAAATTTAAAATAGGACTAGGGATATAGTTCCAAGTGGTAGAGGGCTTACTTGCCTAGCAAGCATGAGGCCTGAGTTCAATCCCCACTATACAAAATAAATAAATAAATAAATTCTTTTTTTTCTTTTTAAAGAAATTTAAAATAAAACAAGCAGGGGCTCATGCTCAAGACCTTGAGTTTGATCCATAGCATATAAAAAGCAAAAGAAGGAAGGAAACTTACTTTTAGAGTTTGCACAAGCTCAGTGTGTATGTGTGTGTGTGTGTGTGTGTGTGTGACATAATAATGTACTGGTGTGTTGGTAATATGCAGTACTAACACCAAAGATGAAGAAATACTTATGCATCAGAATAAGAACTCTTTAATAGCAAGATAAAGGCTATTACGAGGGCTGGGGGCATAGTTCAAGTGGTAGAATGTGAGGCCCTGTGTTCAGTCCCAATATGACACACACAAAAACGTTACTATGAATAAAGCTGCCATGATCTTTTATGTTCATGATTTTGTTGAAATACTTATTTTCACTTCTTAGTATATACCTGGGAGTGGAATTACTGGATCATATTTCTATATTTACCTTTTTCAATTTTTTTATTGTGGTAAAATGTATACAACATAAAATTTATCTCTTTAACTTTTTTTGGTGGGGGGACAGTGCTGGGGATCAAATTCAGGGCCTCACATATGACTAGGGATACAGTCTATCACTGAGCTGCACCCCCAGCCCAGACCATTTTTTCAGTGTCTGATTCATTAATT